TTTTTTTGACAGAGTCTCACACTGTCGCCCAGGCTGCAGTGCAGTGGGGTGATCTCGGCTCAGTGCAAGCTCCACCTCCCAGGTTCACGCCATTCTCCTGCCTCAGGCTCCAGACTAGCTGGGACTACAGGAGCCCGCCACCACACCCAGCTAATTTTTTGTAATTTTAGTAGAGACGGGGTTTCATCGTGTTAGCCAGGATGGTCTCAATCTCCTGACTTCGTGATCCTCAAGTGCTGGGATTACAGGCATGAGCCACCGCGCCCGGCCCCAACTTTTTAAAAACAATTTTTTTTTTTTGAGAAAGGGTCTCGCTATATTGCCCAAGCTAGACTCAAACTCCTAGGCTAATGTGCTTCTCCTGCCTCATCCTCCCAAGATAGCTATGAGATGGGTAGTAGAAAATCAACCTAGGACTGATGTTTCAGGTGATATAGCACAGATTCAGGGAAAACTCTCTTGCCATTGGTGATAACGCTGTCTTGAGAAACCAGAAATATCTCCTTTTCTTGGGATCATGGGATCCCACAAACATGGGAGTTTGTGGACTCTTGTTTTTACATGAAAAACTAAAGTGTGTTTCAAATAATGCACATCTTCTCCTAGTAATCTTCTCAGTACTTCCTTTGAAAAGGAACAATTTGTTTCCAGATACATAATTTTTATTTATACATGCAGCACAGCACATCTACTATGCAGTTAAGAGCATGAACTTGGGAGCCAGACTGCCTTTTTGAATCCCCATTACCTTATCTTCTCTGTGCATCAGTTTCTTCATCTATAAAATGGTGTTAATGATGGCACATACCTCAAAGGTGGTAATAAGGATCAGGTTAATGTTTATAGATCTTTTACAACAGTTTCTGGTGGTTATTTCAGAATAGTGATCCCAACGCCCAATTTTGCAGTACCCTTAAGGATCATGAACATCTTTTAAAATTATTTCTGATTTTAAATAGTATAAGATGCTTTTTAAATAAAAACCCACTTAATCACCGTTTAATAAAAAAAAAGTTAGAATCTGCTCTCTTTGCCTCTTCTCTTACATAAGAGATACACTCACTGAAAATAAACATCAGCTGATATGTTATTGGTTTGCTGAAGAGCATAAATATCATGAGAGCCACTATAACCAGCTATGTTAAGGTTTGACCTTTTAGCATGGATTCATTGGGGTACAACTTACAGGAAGTACTGCTTAATGAGGAATTCAGTTAAAGCATTGTTAAGCCACCAATCCCGCAGCATATAATTAGGAAAACATTCTAGAAGAGTAGAAAGTAATTGCCGTGCATTTTATGGGCAAAGCTGTTGTTTACAAATATCACATTTAGTAAATTTGTTAGAGGAATATTTAAGCTAGTTGGGAAAGATTATATTTGTAAGATTTAATTCCAACCTTATAAAAACTCTGACAAATCTTTCTCCTATACATGCAATTAAAAGTGATTCCCGGCCAGTTGGGTTGGCTCACACCTGTAATCCCAGCACTTTGGGAGGCCGACAGGGGCGGACCATGAGGTCAAGCAAACTATTGCAAGAACAGAAAACCAAACACCGCATGTTCTCACTCATAG